TAACAGGTAGCTGTAAGAAAGAGATCAAAGACTTCAAAGGTGATCTCAGCAAGAAATTCAAAATATCGGATCTGGGTGATATTTCATATTTCCTTGGCATTGAATTCCACAAGAATAGTAGAGGTTTGATGATGCATAAAAGAAGATATGCAAGTGAAATTCGTAAGAGATTTGAGATGGAAGAGTGTAACTCGACTTCGACACCTGCAGAACTTGGACTGCAACTGTCAAAATATGCAGATGAAGATGATGTCGACCCAACCCAATACATAAGACTTATTGGATCATTAAGATACCTTAGTCATACAAGGCATGACTTAGCATACAATGTAGGTATGGTAAGTAGATTCATGCAGAAGCCAAAGGTATCACACCTAGCAGCTACAATGAGGATACTGAGGTATCTGAAAGGAATTCTTGACTATGACATTTTATTTCCTGCAGTAGATAAAGGAAAATAATGTAAGTTAGTGGGGTACATTGATTTAAGTTAGTGTAGTGATGTTGAAGATCAAAAACCACAGCAGGATATGTGTTTATGCTAGGTGGTGCACCGATTGCTTGGAGTTTGATAAAGGAGTAGTAGTGGAATTATCATTATGCGAAGCAAAGTACAAAGTTGCTTCTCTTTGTGCATGTCAAGCAACATGGATGGTGAACTTGATCGAAGAAATCACAGGGAAAGATCATGGAGTAGTTACCATGAAGATCGACAGCATGTCAGCTATCAACCCGTCAAAGAATCCGATAGCACATGGCCAAAGGAAGTACATCGAGATGAGGTTCTGATAAGTGCAAATTGTAGGTTATTTTGTATATACTTTTTGTTGCACTTATCAACTTTTTGTTGTTAGTATTGTTGAATAATTCTCTGCTTTTTGTATAAAATGTATTTAATCGAGTTTTTGTGTATTTATGTACCATTTGATAGTTTTTCATTCATTTTATAGGTATTGATGCATATTTGGAGCATGAGCAATGAAGTGTCGAAGACACGGCTTCAAACGCGCGATTTTGAGCAACTCATCAATGAATAAGGCTCAAAATAAAAGAATAAAAAATTATCAATTTGGTTGGTATTTTGTCATTGTTAGAAAGAGCATTTAATAATCTTTTCAACGCTACAAACCAAGCGCAAATCGGAGTTACGGTTCTCAAGTTATGACCGAAATAGTATAGAATTTTCGGTTGTTTCTTCTGGTGTATTTCACCCGTCGAAACTGGCAGGACATAAATACGTCAAAAGGGTTAAAAACATATTTTTTTAGGTTATATTTTGGATATTTTTGATCCCAACTCATCAAACCTTCAATTTTTGGTAGAGAGAGCTTAGAAAACAACTTCGGAGCTTGCATACGGATGATCCGTGATGGATAGATTATCAATTGACGCTGACAAACCTGAATATTTTTGGTTCATCTCTCTTACTCTTTGTGTATTTCTCTTTGATTGGGTTTTGCATATGATTTTACTTTAAACTCATGTATATTTGTTGCCCATGGCTTATATTTAATTTGCTTTACAAATCTGTGCCGATTGTTATCTTATATTTGTGCTAGGGGTTTGAGTTGTTATAGATATATACTGCTCAAATTTTTACCTAGGATGATTATTTGTTAGTTTCTAGATTCTAGAGATAGATTTAGAGCTAACAATCTTTATGGGTGTCGAAGGTTAATGCTTCCGTGTTGGTTGTGTCGGTTGAGAGATCGTCGATACGAGTAATATAGATGTCTATTGTGTTGTTGAGGTTGGCTGAGAGATCGTCGCCGAGATGATATAGTAGTTCTCTCTACTTCGGGTTAGAAATAACTTAGGGAGTGAGCGATGCTAGATGACTCTGAGGAGTATTATAGGCTAAGTGTAATTATCGATAAGTTTAAGTTTGTGAGAAGTAGATTATATGCATGCTTGATAAATTTATTCTCTCTAGAGAATGAATTCTTTCATGTTCATATTTACTTTTGTGATTTTATGTTTTACCAATTCAAATCCCAAACTCATTAACGAATTATTTGTCGAACGACGATTCAATAACTAATCTCTATGGACACGATACAATATAACCTATATCACCTGGTAAAAATAATACTTTACTTTTTGCTTGCCGCTATACCGCTGCAACAGGTTCCATTATCTTATAGAGCAGGTAGCAGATAGAAAGATGAACTTGGAACACTGCAGAACTAATAATCAGATTGCAGACATCACAACGAAGGGTGTGCAGGTCGAAGTGTTCAAAAGACTACGAGTTATGATTAATGTAGATAGCTTTGACACAATGAATTATGTGGTGTGTTGAAAATCTAATTCCTTGTGTCGAAAGAAGCATGTTGTTCGATTCAAGGTGTGTCGAAATAGCCTAAGTGTGTGTGTCGAATTATTTGTCGAGTTGTGTATGTCGAGGTGTTGAAGCATGTTGCTTCACACAGGATTTTGACTTAGGTTTAAAATAGGTATTTTGGATTTTTATAGTTTTGAGTTTTGGCTTAGAGAGCAAACAAGTTCAATTATAAATAGAGGGAGTAACCCCAATTTTTTATAATCAACTCATAACTTGTATTCACAGAATTTGCACTTAAAAGTGAATAAAGATTTTCCATAGTTTGTGGGCAGAGAGAAATTTTACAGAAATTCTAATATCTTTTCTTCTTTAATAATTTTGTTCATCAAGATTGACAGAACTTTTTTATAGATTTTGATGGATTTCCAACATCATACCAATTTCATGTAAACGCACGAGTATTCCACTAATTTTCGTATATTATAGATATCTAATGGTTTGGATAACTCAACAATCTTTCAAATAGTGAAATCACCAGAGCAATTTATTTACCTTCTCAAGAACTATTGTGATTTGAGTACAACAGCCATGTTATTGTGAGTTGAGTACAACAACCATCACAAGAGACCTATATTCTTTTTGATGACATTGTTTTATTCTCTGATGGACACATTGTGTACCAGGGTCCATGTGAACAAGTGCTTGGATTTTTTTGCTTCAATGGTTATTTGTGTCCTGAGAGGAAATTTGTTGTAGACTTTTTGCATGAATCAAGTAACTTCAACACATTTCTATTATACATAGTTAGGACTTAGGAGTAAGATTTGACTATTAAACTTTTGTTGTAATGTAAATGTTGCAGGTGAAATTAGTGAAAGATCAAGAGCAATACTGGGTAAAAAATGAAAAACTTGTTTTACTTTACATCCAACGTTTTTCTATGTATTTATTTTCTATAAATTAAACTTGTTTTACATAAGTGGCGTTGGCTTAAGAATGCCTAATTTATTTTTTATTTTTTTTTATTAATTGGAATTTTATTTTTTTATGCATGTATACAATGTTGCTTCATATGTTTATTAATTGTATATAAATATTTATTTTAATATGGGGTGTTTATGACATTTTACAAATTCATATCTTTCTTTTCTTTCATGTTCTTTCCTATCAAACACCTACAAAATCATCTAACTTTCCCATTTATTTTCTACTTACTTTCTTTTCTTTAACAATCTTTCCTTTTATTTTCTTTTCTCTTACTTTCTTTTGTGATCCAAACAAAGCAGTAATGATCTAATAAAGCTCAAGTTTAATTTTGAAGTAGATGCATAGAATTTGTTCACGTTAATTTTTTGAGTTATGTATAATACGGACATTGAATTAATATATAAATATGATAATAAAACACTTGATCTCATATATTATTAGTGATATAATACGTAATTATTTTAAATAACAATGTTATTTGAGAAAACTATTCTTATTTTCAAATGTAAAAAATTTCTATTTTTTATCTTTCTTCATCTCATAGTCTTATTTTTCTTATATTATTATTTAATATAAGTGAATTTATAAGATTATTGTTTATTTTACAATTAATTAATTAATTTTAATATATATATATATATATATATATATATATATATATATATATATATATATATATATATATATATATATATATATATATATATATATATATATATATATATATATATATATATATATATATATATATATATATATATATATATATATATATATATATATATATATATATATATATATATATATATATATATATATATATATATATATATATTTAAATATTTTATATTATATTAAATAAATTTAATTCTCAAACTTGCACGAATATCTTATTAGTTACTTCCTCTATCTAAAAATTTTGTGTATTTCTAGCCACACCAAAAAAATGTTCTTTTAATTTATATAATGCAGTATTAATTAATTTTTTACCAACTTTAACCTTAATAAATAATATTTACACTATTTTCAATTTAGAAAATCATACTATACATTTATTCATAATAATGTATGACAATCAATAATAATAAAGAATAATTTTATAAAAAAAAAATTTATTGACTAAATTATCAATTTTTAATTTATGTATAAGTATCTTAAACGGCTTTACGGAGAGTATGATATAAAATTGTCTATTCACGGGTCTTTTTTACGAGATATTCACCCGTCTTTTCATCCTGTACAATGCACAACTGAAATAATTTATTTCAATAACAAAAAATAACAAACAAATAGGAATACTCATACCATTCATAATAGGGTTGTTGAAAAAATATTTAAGTAATTGAATGGTTGTAATAAAGTATTGAAAAGATTCAACATGTTGAATAAGAAGGGAGTGAGAATTACAAAAATATTTAGCAAAATCTTATTGACTACTGTGATTTTTTAGATTTTTATATCATCATAATCATTTGGGATCAAATATTTTTTAGTAAATTAATTTTTTTCATTAAAATTCATCAATTTTTTTTTATAAATAAAGACTTAATTCATTTGATTTAAACATAAAATAAATAAGTTGAATAAGTATTAGATTATTAAATAAAAAAAGAGAAAATAATATGAAATATAAAAAGTGAAAAACGAAGGAGTTGAATATATAAACGATCCAATAATCTACCTATCAAAATATTATTGAGATAGAGACTTCACTGCAGGAAGTGGAACTTTAAGCATGTGTGAACTTTGAAGAATACGTTATTATATCACCAATTAAGGCTTTCAAATCAATGTCTGCTGAGCCACCATCTCCAATTGCATCCCAACATATCTTTTTAAGCTTTCTAATTCTTTCCCTAATACCCTTTGCAAGGTCACTATCCAAATCCATAAATTCACACACTAATTTTACAACTTCACTTTTCTTCACCAAAACATCTCCATTCACATTTTCTTTAACTCTCAATCCAACCTTCCAATCCTCTACTATCATCTTACTATTAAATGGTTGGTCAACAGTAATTGGAAAAGTCAAAAACGGCACTCCACAAACAACACCTTCCTTACTAGAATTCCAACCACAATGTGACAAAAATCCACCAATAGAAGAATGTGACAACACTCTCAATTGGTCACACCATTCCAAAACCAATCCCATATTCCCACAAATTTGTTTCAACCTAGAAGCTTCATTACGTGCTACCCACAAAAATCGAATATTGCTTTCACATAAAGCTCTTGCAATTTCATCAATTTGTTTACTTGAAGCTGAAAAAAAACTTCCCTGTGATATGTAAAGAACAGAACCAATTGGTTGTGAATCTAGCCACTCAATGTAGCTATTATTAGTTTTTAGTTTGGGATTGTTTTTTAGGCTAATGTATGGTATGGTAGGACCAATTGTGTAAACTGGTATGGACAATTTTGATTTTAAGGTATCAATTGCTTGAGATTCTAGCTCATAAATTGAAGAAATTAGAAGATACTGTGCTTTGTGAATCCATTGAAAACCTTTCAAAAGCATCTGCATCATTCGTTTGGTTTGAAAAGATGGTAATTCAGCTAAGCGCGTTGAGGAAACTCCAGGAATATAATTTACACGTTCATCTCCATTTTCTGTTTTGCATCATTTACTATTAGATATAAGTAAAAATAGAAAACTAAGTTATATAAACAAATTTAAGAATATGGTTACCTGAAAATTTCACAAGGTAGTGACCATTTTGTTCCAAAAGATGTTGGTGCAACAAAATAGAAAATACAGAAGCAGACATTGTCCAAAACGATGCTACTGGTATATTCTTTCGGTTTCCAACGGCAACAGCCCAATACAAGAAAGTGTCGTACAAAATGATTGAAGGAGGGAGGTCAAGTAGGTTTAGTACCTCCTCAAAGGGTTCCTCCATCTTTGTCATGATAGCTTCTATGAAGGCAGGATGGTCGCGGCCGCGAATGAGTTCAGAAGGAACAACGTTAGGGATAGTTCGGAAGCTTATGTTGTCGGGTTTTGGTTCGGAGGAGATGAAGCTTAACCATTCTTCGGTGACAATGAAGGTGACGAGGATGTTGTTGTTGTTGGACACAAGGAGCTTGCATAGGTTCATCATGGGATTGATGTGGCCTCGTGCAGGATAAGGTATGGCAGCAACGTGGTTGAAGGAAGTAGGGGGTGATGCTTCCATTGAAATTTTGGGAGAGGAAAGGTTGTTGTGAGGTTTGATACTTTTGTGGAGAAGACAAAGGTGAAGATTGATGAAGGTTTGTGTCTTATTCTTGTTGTTTACGTGCATGAGATAAAGCTTGTGTTGTCTTATTCGTTTAATAGATTTTTAATAAATATTAAACTTGGAAACCATGTGAAATAAAAGTGCGATAGCCAAATATCTAGAGTTGGTAAAATGGGTCTGACTCGTTGAATATGTCTGTTTTATCTGTATTTTAGTGTTGAACGGACTAAGAATTTAGATCCTTACCCTCTAATGTGATCGTCCCGCTCTTTTCTGTTTTTTTTTGTGGACTTTTGTGGACGTGATTATTAGCATAATTTTTTGTATTTTTAGGCTTAAAAGATGCAGAGACTTTTTCCACCCTCGCACTCACTTTTTTGGTATTGTTGAGGGGTTGGTTGTTGGGTTTGGTATTATTGAGGGGTTGGTTGTTGGGGGTTCTTATTGGACGTATGTTGCAGCTCTTTGACGTGGGTCGATCAAACATGTCTCTTGAGACATAAACATATTTGTTGAAACCGATGTGTACCATCTCAAATATTGGAGAGTCAGTTTTAAGTCATCTTGTGAGATCGGCTCCCTTAGGACCAATTCACGTTGATGCCTCCATTGACGATATTGATTTTTAGCGAAGTCTCTCAAATCATTAAATCCCCATTGGTCGTCAACTCTGAGTAGATGTCATTGTCCCAAATATGTAGGGGATTTGGGATACCCTATTGCATGCCAAACTGTAGCTTCACACGATCACTATGGTGTATCTCCATAGTATTGAACCTGATGAGTGTTGTTTTTGCAGTCCAGACTTCAGCATCAACTGGGTTAATCTCATGGTCGAGATCCTTATACGGTCTCCATATAAAATGTAGAGAAAAAATATTAAGTTAATATTAATATTAAACTTAATTAACCTATTGAAAGTGTTGTATAAAACATATAAGTTTAATACATCTTCGGGTCCAACATGATCGATAAGATTTTGGTAGACTACTATTGTGTTTCGAGGGGATTTGTTGTAATTCATCCCAGGAATAGACCACCTCATAGAAAAATGGGTAATAAATTAATACATGTTGGTTATAGTATATAGTATGTAAAATTTGTGTTTTCGTAATCTTACTTCGTAGCAAAGGGGAAGACGAATGACCTTGTGTTGCAGGGGGTGAGTGCCGACATTCTTGACCAGCACCATGTCTGGAGGAAAAAGACACAGGAATAGAAAGAACAACTATTGTTCAATGCATTTTTACACAAGGAACTATACAAATGGGCCAAAACAGCAGAGCCCAAACTATATGTGTTTATTTTATCAAATTGTCTTAACAAGGGTAAATACATGATATTAACAGTATTACCCGTTATTTTAGGAAATAAAAAGTGGCCAAATAATACCATTATGTAACACTGAGCTTTCATAAATTTTTTTTGCTCGGTAGAGTTTTCGGTTATTATGAGACTACTATGATATTCTCTAAGAAGACAGAGATTAATACCTTGGCCTCTAAACCCTTGTTCAAATAAAGATACTCCCAAAAATTCCTCGCATATGGCGTTGTCTTGGTTGACTCGGCCATTGACAGGCTTACCATCGATAGGTAGACGGAATAACATGTACACGTCCTCTAGTGTGACCGTACATTCACCACATGGAAGATGAAAGGTGTGAGTTTCTGTTGGAGCGGTATAGCGGCAAGCAACAAAATTTTTGGAAATATTTATCCTGGAATTTATCGTGTCCACAGAGATTGGTTATTGAATTTCCGTTCGACAAATCTCTCGTTAATGAGTTTAGTGATAAATGAGTTTGCAAAGAAAATGTTATCAACAGAAAATAAATGTAAACAAAAGTAAAAACTAAGGAAGAACTTATCAAGCCTGCATATAATCTACTCATCACAGACTTAAATCTATCGACCAATTACATTTAATCTAACAATAATCGTCAATGTCACTACGTATCACTCACAACCTAAGTCATTTCTAATCCAAATTGAGAGACCGACTGTATCACCAAAGAAATGATCTCTCTACCTCCTCAACAACATAGAATACAACTATGTAATCACACTGACGATCTCTCAGTACAACACAACCACACAGATGCATTAAACTCTGATACCCAAGTAGATGTCAGTTCTAAATCTATCTCTAGAGTTCAGAAACTAACAAATAATCATCCTAGATAAGAATCTAAGCAGTATATGTCTATAACAACTCAAATCCCTAGCACAGAGCAAAAATCTAAGATAATAATTGACAAATATTTGTGAAGCAAGTTTAATATAATGCCATGGACGACAAAATACATAAGTTCAGAGTAAATATATGTACAAACTCAACACATAAAGAATACACAAAGAGGAAGAGAAATGAACCATAAATCTCCCGGTTTGTCAGTGCCGATTGATGAGCAATCCACCCCGGATCATCCATATGCAAGCTTCAATTTTGTTTTCTAAGCTAATTCTATCCAAAAATGAAGGTTGATGGAGTTGGGATGAAAAATACCCAAAACCATACCCAAAAAATATGTTTTTACACCTAAATATGCATTTCTGACTGTCCAGCATCGCCCGACGACCAGAAAGCGTCGCCCAGCGACCAAAACAACGTTTTTCCCATGCTACAGCTCGCCTAGAGTCGCTCGGCAACCAAAATCGTCGCCTGTCGATGGATGACAGAAGGTTGAAAAATCAGCACAACATTATGCACTGTTTCGGCCATAACTTTTGAACCGTAACTCCGATTCGCTCCCCGTTCAAAGAGTTGGAAAGCTTATTCAATGCTATTTCTAACAATGACAAAATATAAACCAAATTTATGATTTCTTATTTTTTTTATTTTGAGCCTTATTCGTTGATGAGTTGCTCAAAATCACGCGTTTGAAGCCGGCTCATCGACACTTTATTGCTCATGCTCCAAATACGCATCAATACCTAAAAAATGAATGGAAAAACATCAAACGGTACCCTATGTACATAAAAACACAAATAAACACAAACTAAATGTATTTATACAAAAGTTGGGTTTATTCAACGATATTAACAATAAAAAGTCGATAAGTGCAACAAAAAGTATATACAAAAATCGCTACAATTTTTACTTATCAAACTCTCCCCAACTTGAACTATTGTTTGTCCTCAAAAAAAGTCAAATAACATAAAGAACAAAGAATAATAAATCAAAGAATCACGAATCAACATGTTTTGAAAACGGAAAACTAATGCAGTGGTTCAAATGAAAAATGGTACACACGAAGAAACATACTTACCACTAAACTATGACGATAACATAAACATGAAACAAATGCTAAATACAAAGAATATGCCAAACATTCTGAAACAATACCTGGTCACAAATGAATCACACCTAGCAAACATAATCATCGGTAGATGAAAAACACACAAAAATGGGGTATTTTCACTCATCCAACAATCTTGCAAACAATACACTAAATTATGCATTCATCCAAAAATTTACATTGAAAATATAAAAGCAAGAATCTCAAGGACTTTTCAAGGTTGTAATGTGGCTTGATTAACAAACAAGTGATAAGTCCTAAAACTAATCGAAACAAAAACTTACCTAAACCTAAGTGAGTAATTACTTCCACAAAGTTTCAAACAATAGAATTTCAATCAAACTTCTTCTTCATCCCAAATTTCAAACCAACACACATCACTTATTCAACACAACATTATTCCAAACTCTTTTTGTTTTTCTTTTTAAAAGCTTTTCTATTTTTTCCCTTTCTTTTTCTATCACTTTTTTACATTTATTTTCTCACTTTTTTTTTTCTTTTTCTTTTCAACCTTATAGCAATCAACCAATAAATGAACAATCATGTTTCTTCCCAACTTGAATTCAACCATACATTAAAGTGAATACTCCCTACTTTCTAAGGCAAGGTAAAAATTCAAACCAAAATAATGGCTGAGGATTCAAGAAAACAACGAATCAACATCCATGTAAAAAGGGAAACGAAACACTCATAGACAAACATTTAGAAAATACAACATGGATATCGACAAAAAGCTCAAAGGGGTTACTGATGATCACACACTCACAAGGTGAATTGACTTATTTGGCCAAGGTAGTTGTGTTCAAAATGAAACAAAAAATGCATTGATCATATTTAAGCTTTCATACAATCAACATAAACAAAAGATTAAGCATAATAAAATCCAGTTAAAACAAGATTTGTAGTTTCCAGCATATGTGAACAATAGAAAGCTACCTCACAAAAAGGGGAGAAACTAAAGTGATTCATAAATGAACAAGTATACAGAAGAATGAATGGCATAAAAATTGTGAAAAGTCTAAGTATCATGAATATGCTAAAGTATAGAAAGCGATAAACACATACCTTGAACGTGTACAAAACTTTAACAAAATCATTACCATGCATTCGCAATTCAAACGATCAAACTTGACAAATAACCTCAATATTCTACAAGTTACCAGACCAAAACTTGAGTCCAAACAACAACAAAAGAATTAGAAAAATAATACTCCTACAACATTTTAATGTACAAAATTTACAATATATACAATGAAGAAAACTCCTCAAGCTAAACACGTCAAGCTTTCGGAAAACACAAATTGACATAACAAAATAAATACAAATAACAATATGAAAACCGGATGAAAATGAATTAACAAGTTTAAAAGTGAAGATTTGAAATTCAGAATATTTCCTTGTTTCAACTTGTTAAAACAAAAATCACCACACACATAAACAAATACAAACAAACATTCTTGTTTTACGTCGTAAGATCGATGCCTTTATTGTGCGAGCTAGTAATCTCCTCTCTCATGCAATGGTATTGTCACACCGTGCAAACCTAAATAAAGTGTCCTAAAAATCACACAACAAACGTTACGAAAATGAGACAATTCACAACAATACGTGAAAACACATATATGCACAAATATCATATACAAGTTAATGTACA